ATGGAGTTTGGATTGTCAAGATTTAAATATTTATATTTGAGGATTTATTTTAGTTTCTTTCCGCTCATTATATTATTTCTTTAATCACTTTGTATTCCGTGTTCGTTTTTAAAATATTAATTATCTGATATCCCTCGGATTTGGGCTTGGGCCTGATCAACCCGTGTCTCGGATCTGAGGGGTATCACAGTTAACAAATTCATTTTAATTTTAAATATGCATGATAGTATTAATAATTCACCTTGCATATTGTATGAATGCATTTTTATTCAGATCAATTATGTCTAATCCATGTTATCTGTTTGCTAAAATATTTGATGTATGTGGACCTCATTTATAATGACTGTAAAAGGAATTTAGATATTTTATTCACAACGTAAATGTACAAAATGTATTTAATACTCCTATACCTAATTCATTTACTTTAAGATACTTAATGAGATATTTTAGTGAGATTAGATAGGGCGTATGCCTACGTACTATGTCAAACTTGAACACCATCAAGATAGCCTAAGGAACTTCAGTATGAAATCGAATTTTGGAAAATGATTGTTTATTAATTAAAAATTAGCTGGAGATCAATAGGGCTGACTTGGGTGGTAAGTTTCAAGCTGACATGATTATTGTCTTGTTCCCAAACTCGTTCGACTCTTTTAGAGTGAACTAAATAAGGAATCAGTTTGAGTTCACACTCGCTGATATTCTTATAGAATTGGTAACAAATGAAGGGATAATCAAAAGTATAGGCATTCCTATCAATCTAACCTAGTTTATACCATCTTTTTCTAGGCCCAAGTGGAAGGGCAAAGTAAAGAAGAAGGATGATGATAGGACTAGGCTAGCACAAAACATGGGTATCCAAAAATTAAAGGAAATAAGGCAGTATATGTTGAGGGCGAAGGAAACTGTTTCTTTTGCCGCTAACTAACACACTAAAGGAGAGAACTGTTTAAGCAATGACGTGGCATAGGAAAATGTATATTTAATCATTGAGCCATGTTATGTAGTTGTATCTATTAATTCCTGATGGATAGATTCTGGAGCCACTAAACATGTTTGCAATTCGTTGCAAGGATTTCAAGAATCCAGAAGTCTCGATGATGTGGATACATATTTGTCTTTTAACCTGATGCCAATGTTGTAGCAAAGTCAGTGGGAGTATTACATCTGAAATAAGAGAGTATGATGATATTAGTATTAGAGAACTATCTTTATGCACAGAAGTTAGACGCTATCTAATTCTTGTGTCACTTGTGGTTTTTAAAAACTGGATTGTTATTTTGTAAAACTGGTTTATAAAATTGAATAGATATGCGATTATTTCTGGTGCATTGAAGCCCTTAAGATTTGCAGAATGTAGAAACTAATGTTGCATCTTCTAGATTGAATGCTAAGAGAAAATTTGTTATTCCTGACTCATTATATTTTTAGTGTCTATTTTTGGGTTGTAATCAATCAAAATGAGATTCAAAGACTGGTCAAAGAAGATTTATTACCTAGTGAGGCAAAGGAGCCTAAACCAAACTTGTGAATCCTGTTTTGCAGGATAGATAACTCTAAGGGCTTAATCAGCCAGATGAAATAGTCATAAAGGACAATTGGAGTCGGTACATACAGACACGTGTGGTCTTAAGAACATCCAAGCAAGATTACTCACGTTTTGGATAAATTTATCTGATGCAACACAAGTCTTAAATTTTTGGTATATTCTGAAAGTGTCAAGACTGATGTGGAGCATAGATTAGGTAAACTTATCAAAACACTTCGATCTGATCGTGGATATGAGTATTTCTTGGGATAGTACAAATATTATATAGTCAATGAGGGTATTGTGTACCAGTTTTTCGCAATTGACGCTCAATGGATTGAGGTGTCAAATAGGAATAACAGAATTCAGCTTAACATGGTTAGATCTATGAACAATTATGCTACATTATCTCTTTCATTTAAGAGTTTAGCGTTCATGATATCGATGTGCATTATGAACTGCATTCCATCTTAGTCTGTCTCAAGGATATATTTTAAGCTGTGTTGTTTACTAAATCTTAGTTTAAATCACATGCACATATGGGGTAGTTTTGCACATGTGCACTTGATATGGACAAGTAAGTTGGAAACTGATCATACGCATGATAGATTTGATAACTACTCTAAAAGTCACTAGGATGGATTATTTTATGATCTCAATGATAAAAGTTGATTGTTTACACTCACTGTTTATCTATAGGAGAATCATATTATGAATCACATACCTAGTAGCATAATGTTAGAGATTATGGTATGAGTACCAGATGTACCACATGATGAACACACTTATTATAGAGATTGAGAATAATATATGAATTCCTGATTGATGCGTCAGCATCATCTAATACACAGATTCCTGCATCGGTACATTATTGTAGTGGGAGGATTATCATCCAATCTGACAGAATCATGTTTTTAGGTGAGACCTTTATGGACATTCCTGTTAAATATGAGTTGGACCCAGTAAGCTACATGGAAGCGTGAACCGATATGGATATAGATCATTTTGGCAAGTTGCTATGAAATTAGAGTTGGAATCTATGTATTCTAATAAATTCCGGGATCTTGTAGAACTTTCTAGTAGGGTGATACCTATGGAAGACAAGTTAATCTACAAAAAGATACCAGAAGATTTCTTAGTGAATAAATCATGAGTGTACAAGGGAATGTCATTATTTTTCTGATTCTATATATATATTGATGACATCCTACTCATTTAGAATGATGTGGAAGTTTTGTCATCAATAAAGAGGTAGTTGTTCAATTACTTTTAAATGAAGGATTCTCAAGATGTAAGCTACATTCCTAGGATCATGCTTTTGCAAGATCAGGTTAAAAGGAAAATAGGCTTATCTTAAAAATCCTACATTGATAAATTTTTGACCAGGTTTGGTATGCATAACTCAAAGAATGAGTTCTTACTTTATTGATATGGATTGTTCTCTCTACTAAGTAGTTTTCCAAGACTAGCAGAGGAGATTGAGCAAATGATACTGGAACTATATGCTTTGGCATATGGGAGTATATGCCATAGTTTATACCAAACAGGACATCGCTACATAATAGGGATAGTCAGATGATATCAGTCCAATCCTGGACTTGGTAACTGGTCTGTTGTGAAAAATATCATTAAGTACTTTAGGAGAACCAATGATCTCATACTCATTTATGGATATGATGATATGGTCCTAGTCGGGTATGCTAGTTATGATTTTCAATCAGAAGTAGATACTATGAAGTTCATGACTTAGTGTATGTTCACTCAATGGAAGGGAAATCAGTTAGTAGATTGTTAAGCAGATTTCAACTGCTAACTCAAACTTGCAGGTGAAGTACATTGCAGCCTTAAAGGCGGCAAAGGAAGCCTTTTACTTTGATCTTACTGATTTAGAGGTTGTGGAGCATACTATCCTGCCTATCGAGCTATATTGTGACAACAGTGCAGAAGTAGTCCAAGCCAATGACCCAAGGTTCCATAGAGGAACAAGGTACACTGAGAGGAAAGTATCATGTTCTACATGATATTGTCTGGCAAGAATATGTACTCATGGCTAGGACATTGCAGTGGAACACAATTTTGTTGATCCATTAACAAAGATGTCATTGATCAATAGTTTTGATCAACACCTGGATAACATTGGAGTTAGATGCAATCCGAACTGGCTATGAGGGCAAGTGGGAGCTGTTGGGATTTATATGCCCTGGCATAGCAAATTCCCATTTGGATTATAGTGACATAAGTTCCTGACGTTTCTGAAATATTTATGTTTTATACAATTGGTGAATTCAATATATTATGTTTCGATTCATTATAGAATTGATAGTGTCCACTTGATTACAAGAGATATTTATGTATGTATGTGATGGTGATCAATACATGAATATAAATAGTAATCATAAATGGTTCATAGTCGATAATTATGGATGGACTCATAATTAATTAAGACTTGAACTGGATCCGCGTTAGGTTGAGATATATTGCGAGAGCCGTCGTATGCAATTGCTCCCTATCACTGTCATGGCATTTGACTCTTAAGCATGAGAAAAGTATAAACTCTTTTATTAATTAATAATTACTTTGATTTGTTCGGCGGATTCTTCGGGATCCTTAGACCGACACTTTGGGTAATTATGTAATTAATAGTTAGAGGGTTATATTTTCAATATTTGCATCATTGCTACTTGTATTTATTTTGTATTGATTATGTTTGATCACAAAGTAAATTCGAAGGCCTTCGTGTGTTTTTAGACAAAATAATTTATTATATATTTATTTATTTAAATTATTATTTTTGTCAAACAAATGTTTTATTGTGATCGAGTCAGAAATAATCAATGGTACCAAAAGAAATATATTAATTAAGTAGTCGGATTGATGGCTTTATTTATCCGATAACTAATTATGCATAGAGGGGTCAAAGTGCAATATTGACTTAGAGGTTATTTATTATTTAATTGGAGTTCAATTAATTTCTTTTAGTGGGGTAGAAATTAATTTACGAATTAATTGAATTAGGTCCATGGATCGGGCCAATTATTAATTCATTATAGCCAATAAAATAATAAGCCCAAAGGATTCTCACTCATAGCCCAACTTGATATTGGAATCCTATTAGATTTGAGACATGTGAATTAGAGATTGAGAAGGAGTTATTGTTTCCTTTTCTTTATCTTTATGTTGCCTATATATATACATGGTTTATGTATATTTTAGGGGTGATTTTTATGAGAAGGAAAAATGAATATATTTTCTCTTTCTAGAAAATTAGGGTTTATATTCTCATCTAATGAAGGCTCTCACAAGCCTAATTTTCCAAGGTCATTCATGGAGGCTTATGAGTGATTCTTAAAGGCAAAACAATTATCAAGAAGATGGAAATCCAAGAAGAATGCATCTTGCTAAGGGATACACAATAAGTGAGAACATTCACCTTAGAGGAAAGATTTAAAAGTTTACTCAGACCTTTGATATAAGTATTCAATATGTTTAATTGAATGATACATCATATTTTATTTTTGTATAAAACTTGTCTCTATGTGATAAATCAAGATCTATGAATGAAAATCTTTCGAAAAGTTTTTAAAACTAGCACATTTCCCAACAGTTTCATATCTTTGAAAAGGTTGAGAGCTTCTCTACCATGACCGTGCTGAGCTAAACCGACCAACATGGCATTCCACAGGGCAATGTTTCGAACATCTGTACTTTTAAATAAGCAATATGAATCTTCTATCTTCCCACACTTGGCATACATGTCTATAAGCGAGGTCCCAACGAAAGGGTCGGAAGCACAATCTGACTTGATCAAGTTTGCATGAATTTGTCTTCCTTGTTCCAGTGCAGTCAAGTATGAGCTCGCTTTGATGAGGGTAGCGAAGGTATACTCATCAGGTGCTACACCAGATTGCCTCATCTGACGGTACATTGAAAAAGCACAGTCCTCATCTCCATTTTCTACACACCTGGAGATTATAGTTGTCCATGCAATATCATCGGGTGCAGGAATCCCTTGGAAGACTCTGTATGCATCCACCATGTCTCCACATTTAATATACATATCGAGAATACCACCACTAACGCATAAATCTGAGTCAACCCCGACTTTAATTACATAATCATGAATTTGCCTTCCTTGTTCCAGCCATACCAAACAACCACAGGCTTTAGCCACAGTTGCAAGTGTGATCTCATCTGACCTTTCTCCACTTTTGTGCATCATAGCAAAGAGCTCTAAGGCTTTATGCCCATTGTTGCAAATTATATACCCATGCATCATGGCGTTCCAAGTTGCCGAATCAAATTCATCTTTATTTTGAAATAGTAATTCTGCACTTTCCATTCTTCTGTTCCTAGAATAAACATCAATAAGTGCTGTTGATACGAAAGTATCACTGATGATTGCAGTTTTTAGTGCAAGAACATGAACTTGTTCACTCAGACACAATCCTGCAGTAAGTGAAGAGCAAGCCCTCAGGACACTCGCCAATGTAAAATGATCTGGTTTTAAGCCATCATTAACCGTATCCCTAAAAAGAGTCATTGCTTCCTCCTCCAAACCACTCTGCACACAACTTGATACCATTGAATTCCACGAAACTAAATTCAGTTCCTCCATGGTGGTGAAAACCTTTTGAGGAAAACTTAAGTACCCTGTCTTTGAATACATGTTAATGAGATTGTTTGCAACAGTGACATCCAAATCAAAACCAAACTTCACAGCCATGCCAAGAATTTGTCGTCCCAACCCCGAATCATTTATCCCTATTACAGCAGCAAGAGCAACAACAAATGTCACACTATCAAAACCTACATTTGATCTGTGCATATTCCTAAAGCATTCGACAGTGGATAAATTTTCACTAGCTTGGTGATACTGAGGCAAGTATTTATTCCATGAGATTACATCTGAAGTATCATCCTGCAAAAACGATTTCGTTGCATATGCTTGAACTTGCTGTGCATACTTATTGCCTTCATCAAATTCGACCTCAGAAAGCCCGCCAAGAACACAACGAACACTGACATCATCCGGACGCAATTCACTCCGATGAAGCTCGGCGAAGAGAAGAAAAACATCTTTCTTGAGGCCCATTTGGCCGCATGTCTTGAGCATCACATTCCATAACACAATATCCTTTTCAGTTTTAGGCATGTCATTAACCAAAACCCGGGCATCCCTTACTCTTCCGAATTTAGAATAAATATTAACAAGAGCACCTGAAACAAATGCATCCCATTCCAAACAAATTTTAATGGCATACCCATGAACTGTTTCCGAGGCCCATATATATCCCGACATCAAACACAACTTCAAAACAGGAGCTAAGGTGAGTTTGCTAGCCAAAGCAGCAGACAATCGAAATTGACGGAAAAGGAAGAAACCCTCTTGGATGCCATGGTCGTCATCAGAATCAGCAGCGTGCGCGTAGGCGGCGAGAATAGAATTCCAAGTAACGAGGTCTCGTTGAGGGGCATTATCGAACAGGTGGCGTGCGGAGGAGAGAGAACCGCATTTGGAGTACATGGTGATGAGATTGTTGGTGAGGAAGCGGTCTGCAGGGTGCCCACAAGTTACGACGAGCGCGTGTACGCATTTGCCGAGGAGTAAGTTGTTTATGGAAATGGCGGTGCGGAGGAAAGGGAACCATTCCGAGGAGGAAAAGGATGATGATGAACAGTTAGGAGGAAGAGGAGAATAGAGGGCGTTGGAGAGGTGGCGGTGAAGGAGAGGGACAGGGAGAAGAGTGTTGAAGGACGTTGCTGCGGCGGGTCAGAGTTTGGCTTGCAAGTGCAATGTTAGCATTTCTTTGGATACATCCCCTTGGGTTCCCTCGAAATTTCAAAGTGTCCATATTATATTTAAATTGAATTATTTTTATTTCTTTCTAATTTCACAATTTTTATTTCTAAATTAAATATATTAATTTTTAATAGTTAAAAATATCATATTTTACGAATGAGAAGACTTTAAAAAAATACCTTATTTTTCATTTCATTTAAACAAAGAAAGTTAGCAATAAATCACTTTTCTTCTCTAGAAATACCTCTTCCAACTTTCTCATATGGTTTTTCTTCATTTTTTTTTTCTCTCTCCTTTATTAAGCTTTTCAGTTGTTTGTTTCATTTTAAATAGCAAAAGCTTATGTCAAGATAGAGAGTAGTATATAACGAACGTGGTAAAAAAATATTTAACATAACATGATAATGATAAAGATGACTTATTTAATAGATAGGTTAAAACTTGATACGATACGAACACAATACGATAATGATAAAGATGATTTATTTAATAAATAAGTTAAAACTTGATACGATACGATAACTTGAACCGTATTAGCAAGTTGTGTCAATCCCATTAAAAGATCATTCAGATCATGACTTGAAGTTGAAAGACCATCTGCAGGATTTGAACGATGATCAGTTTTGAAATTTGGGTCTTTTTTTGTTTGGGTTGGGCTGAGGCCTTTTCAGTTTTGCATCTTTGTATCTCTTGGGGGCTTAAGCCCTTGTTGGTTTTGTAGTGGTGCTAGCCCTGTGGGATAAGTTAGCCCACATGCTATGGCCGTTTGGCTTCTACATTCCATCCTCATTGTATAATATAGACTTTGATTTACCTTTAGACAAAATAAATAATAATAATAATAATAATAATAATAATAATAATAATAATTGGTGATCGTAGTTCCTTTTTTATTTTATTTATTTATTTTGTGGTCCGGAGGACAACCTTTTAAAATTGATCAGAAATGAAAAGAATATATTGTGGAGACAAGGTAAGGAAAAGATATATCTGAGATGAAAGTGATGGATGTCGACCAATATTGTACAATCATGTCAAGACAGCATGACTCTACTTAAATCTAAAATATATCAGAAACGAAAGAGATGTCCCATATATATATATATATATATATATATATTATATATATATATAAATGGGCAGTCAGGCCAAGATGGCAAGACACTTCAATGCAGAAATTAAAGAGAGTTTGGTGAAGGAGTTAGGAACTTTAACAGGGGCAACTAGAAAGTCAGAAAGTGCTCGAAATTAGAGAAGACAGAGGCTGAGAGAGTGGAGGCGGCTCCACCCTTCAATGGAGGCGGCTCCATTGAAGTGGAGCAGGCTCCACACTCTTGTGGTGGCGGCTTCAAGAGGGTGGAGGAGGCTCCACACTTTTGTGGAGCCAGCTTCTCTTTTGTAAATGCACAGTAAGTGCGTTTTGTTGATTTTTTTGATTACAGGGGCTTAAATGTAATTTTTGAAAAGTGATGTGGGGTTTTAAATGTTTAAAATTAACCTATTAAGACCTTAAAATAGTTAGTATATGCTAGTGTGTTAATATTAATGGACATCGTGAATTTTTAAAGATTAATGTGCATGCTGTCCAGGAAGGAGGAAGACTTAAATTTCTAGTTTGTTTAGCCAATTGAATGGACTGAAATGAAAGATATTTTAGGGATGTTATATCAAAGATATATAACACATAATTAAGGCCTAGGAATGTGGGTGTGTGATCTGGAAAGGGACGTCATGAAATTTAGATATTAATTTAGATGCTGTCAGGAGTTGAGGAAGTTTTACTCGCTGGTTATGTCTTAACTAATTTAAATGGATTAGTATCAAAGTACTATTGGGGTTTCATAATGTGTAGTTTAGACTTCTAAGTGTCATTAAATCATGCACAGGATTTATAGTTAAGGATTGAATGGATGTCGTGAGATTTGAATAGTAACCTGCATGCCGTCAAGAATTGAGGAGGATTTGATTTCTGGTTTAATTTAGCAATTCAAATGGACTAATATGGAGGTATTTTTGGCATTCTAGTATAATGTGCTCAGTTATAATTCTGTTTATCATTATATTGTGCTATGGATGTTAATTGATGAACTGTTATAATTTCTGTTCTGTCAATTTTATGGATATGGATGATTTAAATTGTTTATTGTACTTTAGCAATTTAAATTGAGAATATATGGTTAGAATTATATACCGGATACATAATAGAACCTTGCATATATTTGACTTCTATTATGTTTGTTTCTGTATATACTTGATGTTCATTTGAGTGTGCATCATTTATGGATCATATGCATTATATGCACCGGTATAGGACGGTGGCATATTGGGGATGGATTAGATTAAAAAGCTAAGTCTGTATATACTTGATGTTCATTTGAGTGTGCATCATTTATGGATCATATGCATTATATGCACCGATATAGGACGGTGGCATATTGGGGATGGATTAGATTAAAAAGCTAAGTCTTACCTCTTCATACATATGGAATGAATTAACTAAAACAGTTAAATCCTATATGGATGCATGTCCTATCAACTAAAACAGTTGAACGACATAACGGATGTTTGTTTTACTTTTTTGAATTAGGAAGGATTTATATATATATTTATAGTATTGTGATATGAGCTTGAGTCTCAGGATCATGGTTAAGGTGCGTATATCGCAAAGGTTGAGTAACTAGATATAACTGATGTTCCCTGACAGGAGATGCACATGGTCACTGGAAAGTGTGATTTACGTGTTTCCTTCTATGCAAGCTGAACTACACTATAGGCTAGTGAGCATCCTATAGTGTGTACCTATATATATATATGGATTATTTTAGTTATTGCCGAGTTATTTAGGATGTATCTGCGTATCGGGTTTATGTATGGATTGTAGTATGATGGAACTTGTATGTGGGCCTGACCCACTCTTATTTTTCAGGTTTTCGTCAATACCAAGCTTAGAGTTTGATCGTGATGATGCAGATTCAGACACTCACTCTTCCGACTACATAGGATTTCCTTTCGTATTTAGTGATGGGATTTTGGTTATGTAATTTATTTTCATTTGTAATTATTAGGGGTCCACTGGATGGATTCCCGAGTTGTACGGATTGGGAAAATTAAATTATATTAATATTTGTATTTGGAGGATTCTTGTATTTAGAATTCTTTTCAACTATTATTCTATTTTTAAATCTTTTGTATTCTTGCTTGTTTACATATTAATTGTTTGATATTCCTCGGATCTATGCTCAGACTTGATCACTCGTGGCTCTAGGATCAAGGGGTATCACATGTAGCAATTTTGAAAAGTTGAGGAAAAGTGAGGGCGAGAGGAAAATCCCCGCACCAAATATCCTCCTAAAAACTGGTCCTCTTACCATCCCTGATTCAAAAACGAACATGTTTGGAAAACTCATCCCATCCCTTCCGAATAACTTTCCAAACCGCCGCACCCCAAGGGCCACGCACCTCTAGAGAACCCCACCTTCCTCTAGACTCCCCAAAGCAATAAACAACGACCCTCCTCCAAAGCCAATGCCTCTCCAATCCAAATCTCCACAACCATTTTCCAAGGAGAGCCTTATTAAAAGGCACCAGTCTTCTAAGACCCAAACCTCCATAACGAATTAGCCTGCATACCTAATCCCAATAAACCAGATGAAACTTAAACTCTTCTCCTTTACCCCCCCTACAGAAAGTTACGCTGCAATCTCTCAATCCTCTTCACAACTAAAGAGGGAATCTGGAACAGAGAGATAAAATAAGTAGGAAGGCAGGAAAGGGTGCTCTTAATCAGAGTGACCTGACCTCCCTTGGAGAGATACTGCTTATTTTAACCCGCCAACCACTTCTCAAACCTATCCGCCACAGGGTCCCAAACCCCAACACATCTTGAAGGGCCCCCCAAAGGCATCCTAAAGTAAGAGATGGGAAAAGAGCCAGTACGACAACCAAGAATATCAACAAATAACTCAATCTCAGGGACCTCTCCCACCGGCACCAAAACAATTTTACCCTTATCACCTTAAGGCCAAAAACAACTTGGAACCAGATCAGGACACACTTCAGATATCGAAGCTGGGACACATTTGTATCACATAGAACCAAAGTGTCATCGGTAAACATCAAATGGGAGACCTCCAACTGGGGAGCAGTATCCCTGCCCACCCGAAAGCCTCTCAAAAACCCCAACTTAATAGCCTTGCTCATTAGTTTACTAAGGCCCTCCATTATAAACAGGAACAAGAAAGGGGAAAGCGGATCCCCTTGTCTCAAACTCCTCGAGCTAGAGAAAAAATCGGTAGAAGCACCATTCACAAGAATCGAAAAACGAACACTGGATATACAAAAATGAATCCATCTCCTCCACCGATCACAAAACCCCATCCTTTCCATCAGGTAAAGAAGGAAACTCCAACTCACATGGTCGTATGCCTTCTCCAGGTCAAGCTTACACAAAACTCCCGGGACCCCACTATGCAAACGGGAATCCACACACTCACTAGCAATAAGAACTGAGTCCAAAATCTGACGACCTCCCACAAAAGCATTCTGAGAATCAGAAATGACGCCATCTAGAACTTTCCGTAACCTTGAAGCAAGGACCTTAACAATCAACTTGTAGAAACACCTTACCAAACAAATAAGGCAAAAATCCCTAATATCTATCGCCTCCCTTCTTCGGAATGAGAGCAATGAAAGTGGCATTCAAGCTCTTCTCAAAAGAGCCCTGAGCATGGAAAGCATGAAAAGAACCCATCACCTCCCCTCTAACCACCTCCCAGTACTCTAAAAGGAATCTCATGGTAAAACTGTCAAGACTTGGGGCTTTGTCCCCGTTACAACTCTTCAAAGCAATTAGAACTTCCTCTTCAGAGAAAGGCTCCTCAAGACCCGAGCACTCATCGCTAAAAATAGAGGCAAACTGAAGCCCTTCAAGCAAGGGTCTCCATTCAACAGTCTCAATGAACAACTTCTCGTAGAACTCTTAAATGCCCTTACAGATATCCTCCTCCTTGCAAAGAAGCTCCCCTTTCGCCTGAATCCTCCCAATATGATTGCCCCTTTTATAACCATTGGCCAATCTATGAAAAAATTTCGTGTTACTATCCCCTCCTTGAGTCACAAAGCTCTAGACTTTTGTCTCCACGAGATCTCTTCCATGATCACAATCTCAGCAAACTCCGCCTTACACTCCACCCTCCTAACCTTCAAAGCATTTGCCAGATCCCCTTGACCCTCTGCTCTATCAATATCAGCAATCTCAGCCAGAACCCGAATTTTCCTCCACACAAGATTCTCGAAGATATCTTTGTTCCAAATCTTAATACTTCCCTTCAAGAGACGCAAATGACCTGCAAGCGAATGACTTGGGGTGCCAACCACCCCGAACCCCTCCCACCAAAGACAGACTCTTTTTAGGAAACCCTCAGCCCGAAGCCACATATTTTCAAATCTAAATAAAGAACGTCTACTCCGTAACCCGCCACAATCCAGCATCAACGGAACATGGTCAGAGATAGGACGAGCCAAAGTAGCTTACACAACATCAGAAAACATTTCCTCCCACTCCTCGGACACAAGGAACTTGTCAAGCCGAGAGAGAGTATGGGGAGAACGTCCATTAGACCAAGTAAAAGGCCCTCCCTCCAGAGGCAGATCAATCAACCTAAACTTATCAATGAATTCTGAGAAAAAACTCCATATCAGAAGTCCATCTACCCCCCGTCGACCTCTCAAAAGGAGATTGAACGTCATTAAAATCTCCTCCAACACACCAGGAAAGCATCCATCGTCTTCGAACCTCCCCCAATTCCTCCCAAAGCAGATGACGCACACTATCCTCCGTAGGCCCATAAACACCAGACTAGACCTAAGGAACACCATCCTCCACCAAAGAAAAAATGCATGAAACAAAGAATCTCCCAACATAAGAATCCACCATAGACACCCATCTATTATCCCACATGATCAAGATGCCACCCAAAGAGCCAACAGTATCCAAAATAATCCACTCCATAAATCTCCCACCCCAAAGACAATGCACCACCCTATCCGACGTCTAAGCGAGCTTAGTTTCTTGCAAACACACCACATGACTTCCCCCTTTACGAATAATCGACTTCACCACTTTTCTTCTGACTGAGTCATTTAGACCCCGGACATTCCATGAAAGAATTTGTAACTTCATAGGGAAATAGTAGAATTAGCAAACCCTTTGTGATACCCCCGGATTTTCAAATGCGGGTTGGCCAGGCCCACGCCCGAATACCCGAGGATATCAAAAACAAATCGGCAATAATCGAACACAGAATACAATTATGATAAAAAGGAATAAATAAAATTGCTAAAAGAAAACTAACACGATAATCCAATAATGAAAATCTCGGAATAAATTTTATAAATAAGAACTATTATGGTACATCCAAACCTCCAATACAAATACAACTCGGGAATCCATCTAGTGGACCCCAATTCAAAACCCAACTTAAGATAAACTGAACTAAACAGGAAATCCAAAACTAAATATAAATAGTAGTCCTACGCAGTCGGAAGAATGAGTGACGGTCTCTGCTCAGCACGAACAAGCTCTAAGACTGGAACCGTCCGATACTTGAAACATAATAGTGGGTCATGCCCACGAACAAGTTCTATTCTAACTACAATCCAAATAGAGACCCGATATGCAGATACATCCTAGACAACTCAACAATAACTATATAGTCCGTACACATATATATATCCACACTAAGGGACTCTCACTGGACTACAAAGAGGGTCTCAACCTGAATAGAAGGCAATATGCAAAACGCACCTGAGTGGGCATGAGTACCTAAGCCTAACAGGGTATACCTCTACCATCATAACCAGCTACGCATCCTTCTGCATATATGCTCACTAACCGTCGATCTTGGGACTCAAGCTCATATTGAGGTACCATAATCATATATATAAAAATCTTACCTATCCATCCATCAAAAATTTAGTAAGTCGTTCAACTTGTTCAGCTGATCTGACTTAAGTATAAGTAACAAGTTAGTCATTCAACTTTGTTCAGCTGATCTGACTTAAATATTCATAGCAAGTAATCCAGTTAGTCATTCAACTTTGTTCAGCTGATCTGACTTAAATATAAGTAGGATTTATTTTATAATCCATTCCTTTATTCCAGAATAGGTAGGAGTTAGCGTTGTGATCTAATCTGTACCTAATATGCCACCGTCCCATACCGGTGCATAAAATCCACACATCCAATAATTGATGCAATAAATGCTAAATTTAAACATCAATTAAAATCCAGAGCGTGATATAATGCTAATCAGAAATATAAACTGAGCACATTAATCTAATTCATGACGTACAAATATAAAGCGGTACATCAAATAGTCCAGAATATCATAAGTAATATCATATATTCAATTATTGCATTTAATCTAAACAATAAAACAGTTCTAAGTAGTATGCATTTAATTACAGAATAAGAAATTAACATACATCTCAAATAGACTGTAAAACATTCACAGCATGATTAAACTATTTCAATTCAGTTGATTGATTTAAAATAGTTTAAAACAATATCCATAAATTAACCATTATGTTAATTTTATCCCAAACCTAGCATATTATTGTATATTATGCATTCCAATTAATTGTCGGGTCCCAGAAATTCATTAAAATTATTTAACCAGACCCAACCATCCCTATATATAAACTCCCGTGCCAAAATCCTACACTGAACCACACAGACGACGGTTACAGGAACCAATCGACATGTTTTCTCCAGGTGTCAACCGGTTTACACAAACCGGTTGATGTAAAATTAGCAAGTGTCAACCGGTTTACACAAACCGGTTGATGTAAAGTTAGCAAGTGTCAACCGGTTTACACAAACCGGTTGATGTAAAATTCCAGATGTCAACTGGTTTCTCCAAACCGGTTGACATCTAGCCCAAAAACGTCCACGTGAAGCCTCGTTGTCTATCTCCTCTCCGACTCCGGTGACTCTGTTATCCTCCGTTAAGGTTCCTAATAGTATGTTATACGTCCCAATCAACCCTAAACATTATTTAAAGCCTCCGCGCATAATTTAAACAAGAATCACGCAAAGCAAATTCAAAACCCATCAAGTTATAAAATCAACATACACATAAATATAAGGCACTGTAATTTATCTTTTTATTATGCATATATGATTGATTTTACCCATTAACGATCCTGGAGTTATTCTAGGCATGCACAGAACACAGATCAAAGGGAATGAGATAGAAATAGAACTTGCCTTACGCGTTTTGAATACAACCCAACTCCTTCTTTTTCCTAAATTAATCTCTGTTTTCCGGCGACCCTTGGTTGCCGTCGAACCTCTCTGCTGCTCCGTGTTAGACCCACGAGCAACCTCCATTCTTCCTCCTTTGGTTCAGCCTTAATCCTTGGCCGAAATCCCTCTTTCTCTCTCTCGGTCTTTCTCTAAAAAACTCTCTGTTATTTGCCTCCTCTTTATACGTATGCATAAGGGGTTTATAACCTTTCCCCAGACACAAACACACATATATATAGCATATTACTAAACCCTACTCCTAATCTTACCCCAACTCTAAAACAGCCGTGAAGAAAAGAAAAAGAAAATAAAACTAATATAGTAAATTTATATTTTAACTATATAACATCACGTATATACATAAATATGTATATATATATATATATATATATATATATAAGCTTAGTCTGTCAAACCAGATATACATACATATATATATATATATATATATATATATTAACAAAACTTTAATAATTATATATATATACTACCGTTTGCAATATACTATATAAACAAAATATATATATCTGACCATAATTATATTAATATTATTTTTAATATTAATAAATATTAAATTCCTATATACATATATACCTATATATATATGTACATCCATCTATGGGTAAATATACGTACCCATTAACCTCATATCCAAATAATACATGTGACCCAATTATTTGGTCCATTACTACTGTCCAAATCCATATCTTTTAATTTAAATAAAAATAAAATAAAACAACATGCATAATTAAAACATTTCACTACACATAACAACAAACCAAATTTACAATGAAGTCACGTAAATCACACAATTCAAATTAAACAAGCAAGTCAAAAAAACATATAAACAAATAGCCAAATAATCATATAATTTAATAAAAAAGCAATTAAATCAATTAAATAAATACCGAGACTATCCTTTTAAAATTAAGGGTATTACATTCTTTTCCCCTAACAAAAGGAACTTCGTCCTCGGAATTCGCCCTCACCGTCTTCCATTATTTCTGGAAACGATGAGTGAATGACATCCTCCTTTTCCCAAGTAGACTCCATTTTCTTATGATGGCTCTATTTAACTCCAATGTATTAAATAGTATACACGGCTCCTATGTGTAAAGAAAACAATAACTGGACAATAAATATGCTGGTAGGAGGGCATATGAAGGGCCAGTCTGCTGAGATGTATAGGTATATCTGGCTAAGAGGTAGAACCTGAAGTGGTAATACGACGTCTCTGCATGGGGGGATATCTATCCGCTGTATCATCCTCTGGAGCATCGCCTGCTGCGGCTGCCTGTGTTGTTGCTCTCTGCTGCTCTGCCTGTAATCTCTTCATATCCCCGTTTGCCCTGTTCTTACGACATGAATTGAAAGTCTTATTCCACCAGGTCAGATCATAAGCTCTCTTCGCTCGCTCTGCATCAGGCTCTGGAATCTCCTCTGGGTCAAACTGATACCCCTAGTCTAGAAGCAGCTGAGTAATCAAATGGCCAAAAGGTAAAGGCTAGGTCTCTGCTCTAATACTGTGCGTGTGATGCAAGTTCTTCCAGAACTTATGCATGAGCTCCCATATAAGTGCAGGAATAGAAATCCAGTACCCCTGATCTAGACAATATAGGGCCTGAAAGATCCCCTCTCGCCGCTGAGTGCCATGGCCTGTCAGGAATGTGCAGCACTGCATTAAAGAACCAATACCAGGGATCAACCTTGACCCGGTCTGCAAAGGTATGCCCCTTAAATGCAGCATGTGGAGATAATGTAGCTACCATGGTCAGCTCAATGGGAAATAGTGGATGTGTAGGGTACAGAGGCTCCTGAGAATCATCAGTTAATGGAGAAGTGTGAGGGCAGCGACTGGCAGCAGTTATGGCCGGAATAGAAATATCAATCTCCTGGCCGTTAATGGTAGTGTGCAAAAGAAGTTTACCATCCTTATCCATCTGGAGGTACTGGTAGAATAGACCAACCAACCGAGGATAGACGATTGTGTCTGCTGGAGTCATAATGGCAGCACTGCCCCGCCGCACAAGCTCATTATAGGACCACCTAGTCTGGTCCAAGGTAGCGAATAACTCTGTATCAAATCTGTACTTGGTCTCTCGGGTCTAGCGTAAGACTCAGCGGGAACCTCGCGGATAATAGCATGCTCAGCGTCCATGGCAGATGGCTCAAATTGGACTGACGCAGAAGATGAAGAAGATGAAGGGGAAGAAGGCTTTGCAACTGGAGATTGAGGCTGTGGAGCTCTGTGAACTCTTTTCTTGGCAAGAGTCTTTCTTCTACGCTGCATCTGCAAAAACACAAGTATAAATCAGTGCACAGGTATTAGATAAGGTAAGCAACTGATAAGAAAACACAAAGTATGCCGGAATCGAGTAGAAACAGAGAATAAACAAATAAGATCATGCTTGTGCAAGAAATAATGAAAAAGGCTTCAGAATTAACATTCAACATGCTTCAACTAGATCGGATAGGTCAAAACACAATTAGCAATGACAATAAAGTAGTGATGGCATAGAAGGCAGAAAAGTCACATATGGAACATTTTAAGTAACAAGATGATCACCAGGACAAGAATAGGCTGTGATGTGCATAAAGAATGCAACGTACATTCACAAACCTAAAGCTCAAGTGGATGCTGCAATGATATGACAAGTAGACGCTAGGATGACATCATATCAATTCCTAGCAATAATGTCTACAAGTGCAACAGTTAATATCAAATGAAGTAAACAGGATAACATGGAGCATAGACTCCGGGCAAATGTCAACCTAGAACTCAAGAAGCATGCATGTGATGTAATAAAGACTAAGTAAACGGCACGATTGCAAGACACTACAATCCAAAGCAGGTTATGACAAACAAGATCAAGAAAGAATCCTGGACATGGTATGCAGCTAGATGGCATATATCTGAATAATGCACGGATAACAACAACTCCAAACAAAGAAATATCCTGTACTGCAATGCAACAAAATCAGGGTCCTATGATTACTTATGACTCGTGACTTCCTCTAAAGCTGAAATGAAGCAGAGAATGGTTGACAATTGAGAATACAAGAAGCTTACCATCTGGAAGTCAAAATCTAGACCGGAAAGTAATCAAGAATGGAACACAAGTGTAAGATATCAACAAAATGTCATTCAACAGACAAATATGATTACCAAGCAAACATATTCCCAAACTTGGTTCAAATTGCATTACAGAATTCAATTGAGGATCAACAAGAGAGACTGAGGCAAAAAAACAGATACAACATCCAAGTCATGCATAAAAATCATCATTTTTGCAAGAGAAGATCAAAATCATTATAAGGAAGGTCAAAGGACATCAAACTTGTGCCCTAGCATAGCAAGAATCAAGAATTATATCACAAATAAGTTCAAAGGCACTTAACATATGCAAATGGATACAAAGGAATCAAATGGAACAAGCTTCAACTCAATCAAGGGCATTTGGTCAACTTTGGAATTTCTCAACATTTTTGGGGCAAAATTGAAATTGTTGAAAACTTTGGGCTTAAGACATTCAATGGCATTGTAGAAAAACTTTATGACAAGAATCATGCAATGAATGTTCAACAAAAGAAAGAAGCATACAACTCGACTTCTCATTTTCAAATAAAGTTCAAAATTTTCTTTTTTAATCATTTGAAACCCAACAAGTGTGATCATAAAACATTTTAACACTTAAAGATCATTTTACCAAAACAAAGCACTTGAATCAATCAAAACTTTTCAAAGAGGACCATTCAAAACATTTGAATACATGGAAGACAAGACTTAGCATTTGCAATTTCAAAATCACAAATTCAAGCCAAGTCATGCTTGCACTCAAGTTAAACAACTTAGAACACATCCATGCATTTCATATTTAAGCAAATGAAACAAGTTGGAACTATACTTACAACAATTTAAATTTTTCAATGCCATTCAAGTTCAAAAATATATGAAATCCAAAGAAATTTTCCTTTTATTCAAAATATTTCTTTCTTTACAATTCAACTTCAACATTTATGTTTGAAAATTCTTTTCACATTCCATCTCAAATTCCAAAATCAAACAGCATGCTTTATTGGATTTTTAAAAAATCAAAGTTCAAAAATTTTACGAAAATCCGACATGATCTCCCCTTAAAAATGGACATCAAAAAATTTAAAAATACAACAAACATCCATATATATATATATATATATATATATATCATTCAACAATCAATTTCAACATTCAACAAGGGACACCGCTCACAATCAATCCACAAAACCAAGTAAATTTGCCCGTTCTCCTTCTAAATAACTACAATCAACAACAACAAACCAATCTCTAGGATATCCAAGTATGCCCATCACCATTCAACAAAAATCAATATCCAAAATCCAAAGGCAAGTGTTCTAAAAAAAAAAAAAAAAATTTATTTTTAACAAGTTAGGCATTTTATTTTTTATTTGTTTTCAATTTTTATATATACATGATTATGTAGAAATGACAAATAAGATGCAAAACAGAAAAACAAAATAGCAACAATAAAAATAAAGTAAACAAAATAAAAATAAAAATAAAAGAATATTTGGCAAATACCTGACCCAAAGAGGTGAAGAGGAGGGTGAAATGAAGAGATTTGGGCGAAAATGGAGGTTTTCAAACCTCGTTGGAGTTGGAAGAGATGATCGGAGACTCGTCGGAAAATGTAGACGCTCGCCGGAGCTTGGAACCGGATCTCCCTGGCCTAAATCGGCTGGAGATGAAGGATATGACGGAAAATAGAGAGGAATGGAGAGATAGATGCTGGGATTTAGCCTTGGGGCCAAAAATCTTCGCCGAATTTAATGGTGGAAGCGGTGGGAAGCTTGGGTTGCTTGGTTTGCTCTCTGGCTTGAGAAAAGAAGGAGGGTGGGTGGTGGTGATGGCTATGTGAGGGAATGAGATAGATTGAGAAGATGAGATGGATTGAGGGAGAAGAGAGAATCCGGAGAGAGATGGGAAGTGAGGAAGAGCGGTAGGTTAGGGTTTGGGTGACAAAAAAAAATGAATAGGAAGAAGAGAAAAAAGAAAAATAAAAGATAAAATAAAAGGAGGGAGAAGAAAAATAAAAATAGGAGAAAAAGAAATAAATAAAAATTTAGGAACTGAACGGCCAAAGGGATTTCCGGAAAATTCAAATGACGCATTTTCGATCGATCGAAAGATTTCGATCGATTGAATTCTCAGCTTTGATCGATCAAAATTAACTTTGATCGATTGGGATAAACATTGATTGATTGAAATGGAATTTGAAAGGTCCTCAATCCAAGTGATTTAATCAATTGAAGTGGGACTTCAATCAATCGAACTTAAGTTCGATCGATAGAAACCTCACTGGCAGTATACAAAATGCAAGAAATGGCCTGTAAGCCAGATTTTTCAACTCAACTCATACTAAACGACGTAGAAAACATAAAAACTAGAAATAAGGTAAACCCTACGAAATGCACTAGTCTTTAACGTCTCTAGCAAGACGTTGGGCTCTTTTAGCCTGGATCAAAGATCTTGTTATGCATCCCCTCCTTGGCGGGGTGAATGGACTTTTGAATCCCACCCAACAAACCATTCCCGAAGGAATTTGTTGGATTTGATTCAAAGGAGATTGAGGGTCCTTTGTCAATAAAACTTTTGGGCTTTCATGCCCTTTCAACACTTGGTTTTAAAGCAACATCCTTTGAAATCATTTTGGAAGGCAAACCTTTTGAAATTCCATTTTCAAGCAAAAACTCAACTTTTTCAAATTCATTTGTAAGACACTTTTCCACAACATACACTTCTTCATGCTTATCCATTGAATTCGGGGTTGGATTAAAAATGTTCAACTTCACTTTCATGCGTCCAAATGAAATTTTCATTATTCCCATCCTACAATTTCTGTTGGCATTTGCGGTTGCTAAGAAAGGACGGCCAAGGATAACGGGAATTTGATTTTTGGGATTTGGAACCGGTTCTGTGTCAATGACAATGAAATCAACCGGGAAGAAAAATTTGTCAATTTTATTCAATGCATCCTCAATAATACCCCGGGGCTTTTTGATGGATCGGTCGGCTAGTTGCAAAATTACCCACGTCGCTTTAAATCACCTAAGCCCAATTTGACATACACCGAATATGGAAGAAGATTAACACTTGCTCCTAAATCAAGAAGAACCCGGTTAATGACATGGTCACCAATGATGCAAGAAGTAGTAGGTGAACCGGGGTCTTTGAATTTTGGGAGAGTTGTGTTGCAAAATGGAGTTTACTTGCTCGGTCAAGACAACTTTCTTTGGTGTTTGGCTCTTGTTCTTCCTTTTTTGGGTGCAAAAATCTTTCAAAAATTTGGCATAAGCCAGAATTTGTTTAATTGCATCAAAGAGAGGAAGATTAATCTTCACTTGCCTAAACACTTCAATTATTTCATTGACTTTGGTCTTTTGCTTTTCAAGAGAAATGGATCCTTTTAAGACATCTGGAAATGGAGCCTTTGGCTCAAAAACCTTTTTAAAATCACTTTTTGAAATTTTTTCAACACAAGAACTTTTCAAATCATTCTCATTAAAAGGAATCTTTCTCATGCAATAAAGGAGAAATGGGATGTGATACGGGACGGGTGTCAACTTTTGGTTGCACCAGTTCACTCTCTTAATTAGAAACACTAACTTGATTGTCAACAATTTTTTCACTTCTCAAGGTTGTCACCGCATTGACATATTCAATTGTGTGACCTTCCGAGGAGGAATTGGTCTCCATAACAAATTGTTGCTTTGGCGGTGGATTTAAAGGCATTTTCCCTTTCTCTTTAGCATTTAAAGTACTAGCTATTTGCCCGACTTGGGTTTCTAGCTTTGCAATTGATTAAGAATGAGAATGAAGCAATTGAGTGTTTGTCTCTAAAGTACCTAAAGCGGTCAACACTTTTTCCTCAAATGCAGGATTCCTTGAATTTCCTTGAGAATAAGATGATTGATTAGGAAAATGAGAATTTGAAAATTGGTTTCCATGTGGTGATTGAAAAGATGATCTATAACCTTCGGAACCTTGACTTTGAATTGAGGGCGGAACATACTTGCCTTGAAAACCACCTTAGGAAGGGTTTGAGCCTTCCCATTGGCTTTTCCAAGAGAAGTTTGGATGGTTCCTCCCCCCGGGATTGTAATGAGTGCCATAAGGATTATTCCCTTGGTTAACAAAAGTAGCATTCACTTGTTCATGGTGCTCACTTTGCATATGCCCATGGAGACAATTGGAAGTAGAATGTAAAACACTAGAACAAGTCATGCATGTTTCATTAGATGGATGATGAACATGATTAGGGGAGGAAGACATTTGATTCACCGAATTTTGGTTGATCAAAAATTGATCAAACCTTTGAGATAAGGACTTCATTTCGGCGGCTATAGCATTATAATTGTCAACTTGATACAAGCCAACATTCTTCCGTCCACCTAAATTTCTACCATTTTTAGATGACAAAAATCGATGAATTTAATTCTCACTCATGCTCTCATATAAGCGCTATACATTATTTTCATACCTATCAAGATAAGAACCACCCATGGAAGCATCAACCATTCCTTTAAAATTATACGACAAACCTTCAAAGAAAAATTAAACCAATTGCTATTTAGGCATGTCATGGAGTGGACAATTCCTAAGCAAGTCGTTCAATCTCTCTCATGCCTCATGAAACAATTCCCCATCCCCTTATAAGAATTCACGAATGGAAGTTCTCATTGAATTAGTCTTCGATACTGGATAATACTTTTTCAAGAACTATTGTTGCATCTCTGCCCAAGAAGTTCTCGAAAAAGGTCTTAGATTGTTGAACCAATATTTTGCCTTGTCTTTAAGGGTGAAAGGAAAAAGTTTAAGTCTTAAAACTTCTTCTGGCATGTCAGTGTATTTCACAGTGGAACACACTTCAAGAAACTCATCCAAATGCTTGTAAGGTTCTTCACTTGGAAGTCTATGATAATTGGGAAGCATTTAAATGGTTTATGGTTTAATCTCATAATGGTGTGCTCTAAATGGAGGTAATTGAATGCATGTTGGTGCATTATACTCATTTGGCACATAATGATCTCTCAAAACAATAGGAGGATTCACAATTGGTGGCTCAACATAAGCCCTATGATTAACTTGAGCAATGGGAGGTGGGGGTGGAACAAAAATTGGCCGAGATATTCCCAATGGAACTTAGCCTTGTTGTTGTGGAATGAAAGATCTTGGCATGCCTAATGGTACTTGAATGTTGTCATGATGCACATTAGGGTGAAGAATACCTTGTTGGTCGATGTGACCAAGGTCCTCCACATGGTCCTCATTATGTTCCTCCATTGATGAAATGGAGTCACTAGATTTACCCCTTCCCCTTAGATTTCGAACAACCGATTCGAGATGAAAATTAAGTGAGACAAGAGTAGGATTTAATGACTTACGACTATGCATGCACGAACAAAACAACAACTAGCAACAAGCAAGTAACAATCACTTCTCCTCCGCAACAAATCAATCAACAAACATCCTCCACATACATTGTTCCCATACTCCCATGCTTTTAACAATATGCCAGAAAAATAAAATTGCCTCCACGCGAGCTCACGATCGATCTAGGAAATTAAAAACTTACCTCCACGCAGGCTCATAATTTAACTAAAGATAGAGTTAGAAAAGCTCACAAATGGTCCTTAAGCAACTTCAAATTGTTTTTCAAATTTTTCTTTACCTTGCTTTGCTTCGCAATTTTTTTTTTTATTTTTAGCTTTTTATGCTTTTGCTTAGCTTAACTTGGCTTGCTTGCTTCTTTGCTCTAGGATCTTTTTGCTTCATTTCTCTTGGCTCAATGCACCTAGCCAATCAAGAACAAACACAATAAGTAACCAAAATAAAAATAAAATGAAGACATGATCAAAAGAGTACTAATTCCTAATTGTTTCCAAAGTACGGCGTTGCCTATCCCCGGCAACGGCGCCAAAACTTGGTGTCGTCTAAGACCGAGTTGCACAAAAGTGTAAAAAATGTGGCCAAGTTTAAATTTATAGAATGCCACTACCACTTTTTACTAAAAACATAGCAAAAGTGAGTAGGGATCGTCCCAAGGGAAAGAGGTCGTGCTTTGGAACCAATTATAGAGTAGTAGGTCGAATGATCAAAGAGAGGTTGATTTGATTAAACTAGAGTTCAATTAAAACATGCAAATGACAATCTAGAATTTAGAGGAAATTAAATGAGAGAGAGGACTTTGGGCTTAGAGTTCACCACTAAGTTTCACTTCACTAAACACTAGCAATTGTAAATTAAAGGGGACACTTAAGTTGTAAAATGTGTGTGTGTGTGTGTGTGTGTGTGTCACTAATTGAAAACTAAGCATGGATGACAAATAAGTATAGATTGTCTAGTCAATCTAGTGAATAACACAACCTATCAAATGAGACCAATAACCATTCAATTTAACCACAATTAGAACACACACAATATTCTAGAGAAATGTACTACTTGCATTCATAAGTATGGAACATCAAGAAACAAGAATAGATTGTCCACCTATCTAAGAATTTAAAGCAATTACACTACATTTAGGCTAGAGACATGAAAATTAAACTAATTAAACTAAAGGTGTGGCACAATCCATCAAGAAACAAGTGTGAACCATCAAATAAATCACAAAAGTATTCAATTACGTACTATGTTTTGACCATCACTAGATTAACAACATCAATACACATAGACATGCATTAATTCCATTAAATCTAGAGAAAAGTACATGAACACCCATTCTAGCATACATAGACATATGGATATAAATAAATGATCAATTGAAAGCATTAATCTATATACATCAAGTAGAAACCACAAGATATATATTTGTTCAAGATGAAAACATTTATTACAACTAAAATCCCCAAAAATGTACAAAAAACTAGGTCTAGAAAGCAAACTTAGGGGCTATCTCTAGCCCCAAGTGAAGGATTTAGCCACTCATTTTAGTGGTCATGGAACCCTCGAAGGCTAGCTTGGAGGTTGGCATCATCATCTTCATCCTTGCTTTCTTCCCAAAACCCTAGTTCTAGATAGAGAAAACTATGTAAAAAATATCTACTCTATGATATTACAATTGTTAATAATTGAAATTTTCAATTAATTCATTACATTCCTCTTTTAAATAGCCTTCAAGTTAGAAAAACAACCTATTATTGGAGGAAATTCGCAGCTATACAAATTAGGTAGAATTCGGCACGCTCCGGAATTAGACAGCACACTAACTTTGATCGATTCGAAGGTGACGTGACTCGAAAATATCTTTTTTGGCCTTATCCACTTGGCTGAGCTGGCACCGCCTTAACTTTGATCGATCAAAGGGGAGCTTCGATCGATCGAACTTCCTTAGAGACAATTTTTCTTGACTTCTTTCTAACTTTGCTCCTTAGCTCCAAAATGAGGCTAAATGGCTCTTGTTAGCCTGTTTAAACTTTATTCACCTGAAATAGGCAATAACACAAATAAGTATTTAAGACATGAAAGTAAGAAAGATGAATGGACTAAAATACCATAACGTAGGTGCTAAAATACGTCACATTTGAGCACTCATCAACCGACTTCACCACTTTTCTTCTGACCGAGTCATTGAGACCCCGGACATTCCATGAAAGAATTTATAGCTTCATAGGGAAACAATAGAATTAGCAAACCCTCCCCTCCTTCTGCCATCTCTCTCCCCGGATCCCCTAAACCTCCTTTTATATGTGATAAAACCAGTGGAACTTTGCAACACCATTTCTCCCACCCTATCCTGCCTTCTTCCCCTACCTCCCACCCTTTCCCTAAGTTGAGAATTAAGAACTTACTGGAACAACCGCATCGCCTCATCCTCCTTACCCTCAAAAGATACTCCCATCAGAGAGCCAATATACATTCCTTTCTCCCTTACCCACTCCTCTTCCAAATCATTCACTTCTTCAGTATCAGAAGGACCTCTCATCCAATCCCCCTTCGGACGAATAACAGTCAAAGGAACAGCCAAGTTCATTGCTTGCTCAATGTTTTCCCATTGAACTAAACCCAAATCCCCATCAGGTGCAGAACACGCATCACCCTCCCAATCATCAAGGACAAAAGAGGAAAGGGAGCAATCATTCATCAGTGAATCAGGTTCCTCCTCAAACTGGACAGATTTCGAAGCCAAAAGATCCCAAATCTCCTTCAACAGAACAGTGACAGAAGCATCATTAATCTTCACCCTTACATCTTGTCCCACACAAATCGTACCACCCTCACCAAAATTCTCAAAAAGTCGAGCGAGACCAAGCCCATTCACAGATCCGCCGTCATGCCCTTCATCTGACTCAAACACTGAGTCACCTTCAACAACCGGAGCCAAAGAATTGGAAATAGTGACCACCCCACCCTTCTCCAACCCCAACGATCTGCTCGACCCCCTAACAGAAAGAGAAGGGGAAAAAGAGAACGTATGAAAAGTAGAAGACCCAGAAATAACTGTGGACTTACCCGGATCAGAACCCGATCGTGAAGACAACACCCATTTTTGCTTGTCCTTTCGAGTCTACCTTTTACGAAGCGCAAGAAGGAGGACTTTCTTCTTAGACAGACGATGACGTTGCGCAAGCTTTAGTCGCCGATCCTCTCTGAAGCTCGCACTGAGAGAGCCAGATAGCTAAGAGCATCTTCCGTCCACTGAGGAAGACAATGATAAAGGCCTAAACCTGTTGCTCAACCCAACCCCAGAGCAAGAAGGGACTGAGCCCAGCCCACTCTTCAACCCAGAGATCCCTTCATCAGAAACATCACTTAATGGTTGGGTAATCAAACCTCCAACCAGCCCACAAACCTTAGGCCCCTCACTCGGCCCACCAAAAGATGGAGAAACATCTTTAATCCCTTTAACAACCAAAGCCCTAATCCCCGGCCCAAGAATAGGCCCATCATTCTGAGTAGGCTTTGGACCCTTCCTAGCCCAAGCGAATGAAACTGAATTTGGAGCAGAATTTGAATTAAACGTGGGTACAGCTGTATTCCTCTTATAACGGGCATGGGCTGGTCGCCAACCACGTGTATGGATAAGGTTCCTCCCCCACCCACGCACTTGCTGCACGTGAAGATCACCGCGATGCCTTCTCTGATCCCAACTCTGCAAAAAAGACTGACGACCGCTCCCGGTGATACCTCCACACCACTGATTTGGCTGGAGCCCAGCTTGTCGGCGACGATCCGTCATGAAAAAAGGACCTTCCCGCCGTTTCTGAGTGAACAACCTTCTAAAGCACTCCGTATTCCAGATCCACAGAGCATCCCTCCATTCTTCCCATTTCCTAAACTCTACCATCCCATTCTCCCCCGTCGATTCCCACCGCAACCATTCTTTCTCCTTTAGCAGATGAGAACCATCACCCCCTTCCAAACTATCTGTCGTCGGAACAAGCTCATGAGGCGTTTCCTCCCAAATAGCCACCTTATAGCAAAATCGATCATCATGAATGAACACAAACGGAGGACAGACCTTACCGTCCGACACTATAATATGGACTCTCTCAGCATCAATTGCTTCATCGGCGTCCACCCAAATAAAACCACCACACAAATCTCCGATCGTCACAAACAGAGCATGGCTCCAGAGGTGAAGAGGGAGACCGTAAATCGAAACTTTCTTCAGCCCCTTCTCTTTCAGAACCTCCGAACACCTCACCCTAAAACTCCAAGCATCCACACTCAGAGTTGCCTTTCCCCAGTCACATCGACCCACTTTAAAAACACGAGATTTCTTCTTCTTTTTCAGAACCTCCGAACACCTCACCCTAAAACTCCAAGTATCTACACTCAGAGTTGCCTTTCCCCAATCACGTCGACCTACTTTAAAAACACGAGATGCCTCGGCTGGAGAAGGAAGCCGAAAGAGAAGCAGAGAATCAGGCAACGACGAAACCCCCACACCAGAGGAGACATTCCAAACTCGCGATGCCCAAGCAGTAATTTGAGCCCCATCACCCACATCCTTATCAAACTTTCCCACCAAACACGATCGAAGATCATCTCTTCTCCTTCCAACCGAATCGTCATCCAAGAAAATCGAGGGCCCTCTATATGGATTTGCAGATCTCGCAGAGCCACCTTGGAACAAACGTGGCAACCTAGCAACCTCCAAGAACGAACGCATGCCAAAAACCCAAGACAAGAAAACCAAAGGAAATACCAACAACAAACCCAACCAGAGAAAGAGAAACACAGAAACGAGAAAAAAAGAGGATTTCACCGGAGTTTATGAATCCGGTGACTGGTCAGAGTAGTATACTCCGACCGTATCTCTACCGCAACAAGCTTTCTCCAGAAAGGCAACAAGATATATGGGTTGTAATTTTTAACAGTAAAACCTTGAAGGATGAAGCAATGAATGTGATAATTCAAAATTATAAATTACAAATTTTTTTTTTTCCTAGTTGGTACTCACACACACATGCTTTCACTGAGGCTCAAACCCCTGACCTCTCTTTGAGAAGTAGGAGCTCGGTACTACTAGGCCACAGGCCTGTTGGTTAACATGCCATAGCCTTTCATTTATTCTTTGCTCCACATATATTTTGTTATTATCTTTTTTCATTTTATTCCTAGGGGTGTTAACTTTGAGGAGTTTGGCTGTTCTTCATCTTCCTGTTCTTCCAATCCTTTTTCATAATATAACCATTGAATTGTGAAAAAAATGAAGGTATTTGAGATCATAAAATTAGAATTGAATTTAATCCTTAGAGTCCAAATTTATTTTAGGCAGCATTTGGAAATGTTCCACCAACTCATGCAACCTGCAACCCTAGAAATTTAAGTACAACAAGAGCACACAATTTTTAAGAATTATGACAAAAGAGAAAGAGCTTCAAAAAATGGTAAAAACCAAAGGAACAATAGGATTAGTAAGATATAAAAATTAAAAAATGAAACTAACAATAAAATGCATAGAGTTATATAAAACACCTAAAATGATTTACATGCAAAATTAGACACAAAAGAGGGTGAAAAAGTGAATCAGAGACACTGATCAAATTAGATCAAATTTAGTTAAGGAGAATGATATATTAGGTAGATAGAAAATTTATTTTCAAATACCTACTAAATGAGGAATACCTTAGAGTTGAAGTGGAAACAATGAATTTAATGTAGGAATCGTAAATAAAATCAACTAAAAAGTCATGAATCAGGATGCAGTAGCTGGAAAGAACATGGAAAAAAAGAATTAAAGAATAACAATGTTCACAAGTGTTTGTTTATAAAATAAAAATAAAAATAAAAAGACATGTTGATCCATGGGTTGATGAGTGACCACTTAGTACATCCTTGTATTACTGATTCAGTTCCCTACTGAAAACAATGAGTCATGAAAAATGCATCTTGCAGGAGTTCCTCAGCATTTCAAAAAGCTTCCTTCATTTTACCTAACATTTCCTAACTGTTCCTACCAATCCCGGAAGCCACGACAGCTTGGAAATTCAATTTTCAGGTCCATACCAACACACCAAGTCGGGGTGAATGTGATGACCTTGTGGGCGGGTGTGAGAGACACTGACAGGCTACCACATTGGCGAGTTACGAGTGCACAATCCCACATCGCCTGGGTAGAGGAAAGGTGAAGTGCTTATATGTAAGTGTGTCACCTCCAATTGGTTTGAGGCCTTTTGGGGTGAAGCCCAAGAGCAAAACCGTGCGGGCTCAGGTCCAAAGCGGACAATATCATACCATGTGGTGGAGTGGGTCGTTACAAATGGTATCAGAGCCTGACCCAGCCGGAAGTGTGCCGACGGGGACGTCGGGCCTCCAAGGAGGGTGGATTGTGATGACCTTGTGGGCGGGTGTGCCGTGAGCAGGTGCGAGAGACACTATCAGGCTACCACACTGGCGTGCTACGGGTGCACAATCTCACATCGCCTGGGTAGAGGAAAGGTGAAGTTCTTATATGTAAGTGTGTCACCTCCAATTGGTATGAGGCCTTTTGGGGTGAAGATCAAGAGCAAAACCGTGCGAGCTCAGGCCCAAAGCGGATAATATCATACCATGTGGTGGAGTGGGTCGTTACAAATGGTATCAGAGCCTGACCCAGCCGGAAGTGTGCCGACAGGGACGTCGGGCCTCCAAGGGGGGTGGATTGTGATGACCTTGTGGGCGGGTGCGAGAGACACTGACAGGTTACCACATTGGCGAGCTACGGGTGCACAGTCCCACATCGCCTGGGTAGAGAAAAGGTGAAGTGCTTATATGTAAGTGTGTCACCTCCAATTGGTATGAGGCCTTTTGGGGTGAAACCCAAGAGCAAAACCGCGCGGACTCAGACCCAAAGCGGACAATATCATACCATATGGTGAAGTGGGTCGTTACAGTGAACTATCCCAAGTTCAAAACATTTTCCTCCGCTTGGAGAATTGTTATTCAATTATATAAGCAGGCCATGTTTGGAGTAGGTGAATGGAATCAAATCAGATGGAATGAAATGCTTTTCTTTCCATTCTTGTGTTTGGTGTAGGCTATTAATTATCGGAGGCTGTGTTTCATTTTTCATAGAGAGTACAAAAGATTCTACTAGTCAACTCAACTCAAAGATCCTTATCCCAGCACATGAATTTAAAACAGCAAGATGAGAATATTGTATCTTTGATAAGAGTCTAAACAGAGGAAAATTTTGAAGTTGAGTGAATGTTCATCAAGAAGTTTGAGCTTGAAAAAATAAAAATAAAAATAAAAAATAATTACTAAGCAATGATTGAGTTATAATTACCAGTAATTGCCACATGAGCAGATTCCGTCCCTAAAGTGATGGAAACGATTGGCATCTCTGAACACAATTTCCCGTTTAGACACCTTAGATATATATGTGAATGCATTATGGCAATCCCCACAAACTCGAAGGTTTTTTATCACCCGGATTGTTGCGAATGGAGGAGTGCTTATCAGTCCAAAAGCTATTGCAAGCTTCTCACTGTGGTAATAGAGAGAGCTCTCTTTTTCTTCTTCCTCTACATCAAGTAGCACATATTCAGCATCAGGGACATATCCTTCTTCTTTGATCAGTCTAATTAAATCTTCTACCTTATCATATATCTTATCAGCTTGTGGATGTCATCCACCACAAACAAATGCATTTTATTTTACACATCAATCCAACTAAACCCCGGATCCTTTTTCACATTTTTCGTCTTCATCATTTTTCTAACATCAGTTACCTCATTCCATTGATTTGAAGCAGCATAGATATTAGATAAAAGAACGTAAGCTGCTGAGTCTAATGGCTCCAAAGCCAAGAGTTGAGTTGCTACCCGTTTTCCAATTTCTGTGTCCCCTTGAACCCAACAAGCACCAAGCAGGGCTCTGTACATGGAAGCAGAAGCTTCAAAGGGCATTGATGCAATAAGATTTTCTGCCTCTTGAACAAGTCCTGCACGGCCAAGGGCATCAACGAGGCAAGAATAATGCTCGATCTCAGGCTGAATTCCATAGTCTTTGTACATAGAACGGAAATACATGTAAGCTTGGGAAGTCAAGCCAGAATGGCTACAGGCCGAAAGAACTCCTATAAAGGTGACTCGATCAGGTTTAATTCCATGATGTTTCATATCTTTAAAAACATTGAGAGCTTCTCTACCATGTCCATGCTGAGCTAAACCGACCAACATAGCATTCCACAGGGCAATATTTCGAACATCTATACTTTTAAATAAGCAATATGAATCTTCTATGTTCCCACACTTGGCGTACATGTCTATAAGCGAGGTCCCAACGAAAGGGTCTGAAGCACAATCTGACTTGATCAAGTTTGCATGAATTTGTCTTCCTGGTTCCAGTGCAGTCAAGTATGAGCTCGCTTTGATGAGGGTAGCGAAGGTATACTCATCAGGTGCTACACCAGATTGCCTCATCTGATGGTACATTGAAAAAGCACGGTCCTCATCTCCATTTTCCACACACCCGGAGATTATAGTTGTCCATGCAATATCATCGGGTGCAGGAATCCCTTGGAAGACTCTGTATGCATCCACCATGTCTCCACATTTAATATACATATCGAGAATACCACCACTAACGCATAAATCTGAGTCAACCCCCACTTTAATTATATAATCATGAATTTGCCTTCCTTGTTCCAGCCATACCAAACAACCACAGGCTTTAGCCACAGTTGCAAGTGTGATCTCATCTGACCTTTCTCCACTTTTGTGCATCATAGCAAAGAGTTTTAAGGCTTTGTGCCCATTGTTGCAAATTATATACCCATGCATCATGGCGTTCCAAGTTGCCGAATCAAATTCATCTTTATTTTGAAAGAGTAATTCTGCACCTTCCATTCTTCTGTTCCTAGAATAAACATCAATTAGTGCTGTTGATACGAAAGCATCACTGATGATTGCAGTTTTTAGTGCAAGAACATGAACTTGTTCACTCAGACACAATCCTGCAGTAAGTGAAGAGCAAGCCCTCAGAACACTCGCCAATGTAAAATGATCTGGTTTTAAGCCATCGTTTAACATTTCCCTAAAAAGAGTCACCGATTCCTCCTCTAAACCACTCTGCACACAACTTGATATCATTGAATTCCACGAAACTAAATTCAGTTCCTTCATGGTGGTGAAAACCTTTTGAGCAAAACCTAAGTACCCTGTCTTTGAATACATGTTAATGAGATTGTTTGCAACAGTGACATCCAAATCAAAACCCAACTTCACAGCCATGCCATGAATTTGTTGTCCCAACCCCGAATCATTTATCCCTATTACCGCAGCAAGAGCAACAACAAATGTCTCACTATCAAAACCTACATTTGATCTGTGCATATTCCTAAAGCATTCAACGGTGGATAAATTTTCACCAGCTTGCTGATACTGAGGCAAGTATTTATTCCACGAGATTATATCTGAAGTATCGTCCTGCAAAAATAATTTCGTTGCATATGCTTGAACTTGCTGCGCATACTTATTGCCTTCATCAAATTCGACCTCAGAAAGCCCGCCGAGAACACAACGAACACTGACATCATCCGGACGCAATTCACTCCGATGAAGCTCGGAGAAGAGAAGAAAAGCCTCTTTCTTGAGACCCATTTGACCGTATGTCTTGAGCATCACATTCCATAACACAATATCCTTTTCAGTTTCAGGCATGCCATTAAACAAAACCCGGGCATCCCTTACTCTTCCGAATTTCGAATAAATATTAACAAGAGCACCTGAAACAAATGCATCCCATTCCAAACTAATTTTAATGGCATACCCATGAACTGTTTCCGAGGCCCATTCATATCCAGACATCAAACACAACTTCAAAACAGGAGCTAATGTGAGTTTACTGGCCAAAGCAGCAGACCATCGAAATTGACGGAAAAGGCAGAAACCCTCTTGGATGCCATGGTCGTCATCAGAATTAGCAGCGTGCGCGTAGGCGGCGAGAATAGAATTCCAAGTAACGAGGTCTCGTTGAGGAGCATTATCGAACAGGAGGCGTGCGGAGGAGAGAGAACCGCATTTGGAGTACATGGTGATGAGATTGTTGGTGACGAAGCGGTCCGCACGGTGGCCACAGGTTACGACGAGCGCGTGGACGCAATTGCCGAGGAGTAAGTTGTTTGTGGAAATGGCGGTGCGGATGAAAGGAAACCATTCCGAGGAGGAAGACGACGATGATGATGAACGGTTGGGAGGAGGAGGAGAATAGAGGGCTTTGGAGAGATGGCGGTGAAGGAGAGGGACAGAGAGAAGAGTGTTGACGGACGTTGCTGCCGCGGGTCGGAATTTGGCTTGCAAGTGCAAGGCTAGCATTTCTTGGATACATCCCTTTGGATTCCGCGAAATTTCAGAGTGTCCGCGTTACATTACAGTCACACTCAGTGGTTCGGGAAAAAGACACTTATTTATTTATTTTTGAACACAGACACTTTTTAAAAGTTTAAAAATAGATAAAGACATCATTTTACATTAAAAATTAACCAAATTACCTTTTAATTGTTTAGGTGATTTTTTTAACTTTATAATTTAATAAATTGAACCAATCTACAATTTATGCATAAAAAAGTAATTAAAAAAAACTTTATATTATTTACTTTTTTTTTTTTTTTTTTTTTTGTTATTTACTTTATAAATGTCTCAACTTCTAAAAAATGTAGACGTCTAAAATGATTTTTTGATTCAATACATATATTTCAAATAAATTACATTTCGTTATTATTTCTTTTCTTCTTCCTTTTTATTTTTAAATTAAGATGCTTAATTCTTTTATCTAAAAAAATTAAACCAATCTCTTTTTCTTAAAAATAAAAAATATGGTACGAATATAACTTTATGCATCTTAAATTATATATCAAATATTATGCATTTCCCAACATAAAAGAGGGGAAAAATTAATAATAAAACAAAGGGTAAAAAAAAAAGAGACAAAGACATACATAAAGTTATACTGGTACCTATGTTTTTTATGTTGGGAAATGCATAAAAGTTATACTGGTACCTATGTTTTTTATGTTGGGAAATGCATAATATTTGATATACAATTTAAGATGCATAAAGTTATTCTGGTATCATATTTTTTATTTTTAAGGAAAAGAGATTTTTTTTTAGATAAAAGAATTAAGCATCTTAATTTAAAAATAAAAAAGAAAAAGAAAATAAGTAATAACAAAATATAATTTATTTGAAATATATGTATTGAATTAAAAAATCATTTTAGACGTTTACATTTTTTAGAAGTTGGGACATTTATAAAGTAAATTAAAAAAAAAAAAAAAGTGAAAAATATAAAGTTTTTTTTTTAACTTTTTTTTTATGCAAAAATTGTTTAGATTGGTCCAATATATTAAATCGTAAAGTAAAAAAAAAAGAAAAGAAAGAAACTTTATATTGTTGCGTCTTTTAAGTGAGGGTTGATTTTGAGGTTGTGTTTGTGTGGTTTGTGTTTGCGGAAAGGTCAATGATCAGATAATCCAAGGCAATGAGGATGGGTTGAGAAATGGGTGATCTGCTAGGGATGATCTGATTAGCTGGGTTTGGATGATATTGTCTGACATGGCATGGAATTTTTTGTGTGAGGTGGAAAACAGGGGAATTGTGTATTATACAAATTAGTGAAAGAGGATATGCTGTTATGCTTCAACGGTTGGGTTGCTTTTCATATTTTAGGACCGTGTTCGAGCAGTACCTTTTTTTTTTGTTTTTTATTATTTATTATTAACTCTAACATTCTTGTTATAAAAATATAATAATAATAAGGGTATTTCTGACCTTCTTCCATAGATAACACTGAAGACATACGAGTTTCTTCTAAATTTCTGCAATGATGGGTGCGTGCACTAGTCACAATTCTCTTTTTTCTAAAAATAAAATAAATTGGCATTTGTGCCAAAATTCACAATTCCTCGTTTATTGTCACAAGTCAACAAAATATAGTCTCATTGTGATTCTATTTCTAAGTATTCGAAGTCGATTAAATATAATAAATTCAATTATTAAAAGTGATATCAAATTTATTTCATGAAAATAAAAGATTCACCACATTGCAAATTTGCAAGTGGAGAATGAGGTTTATTATAATGATATGACATCAAAGTGCACACATACCGGTCGATTAAAGGACCATTCATAGAATTGGCATCGGACGCTTGGTGTGTGTTTATCTTCGCAAAGTAGCCTCGGAAATGTGTGGTAGTGGTTGCATCCCCCACAATAGATATTTTAAGCAAACGTGAGGTGTTGGTGGCATCACCGGACTAGATTTTTCAAACCAAAACCACAAAAAATTAACGAATGAGAGAAAATTTTATGGTGCAAGTAAGTTCGAATTTAATCCACAAAAATATATATAAATATCCTCACATTATATATAAATATAAAACACGAAAGAAGGGGACAAAAGAAGAGAAAAGAAAAAATACCCGTTCGCTCTTTAAAAAAAAAAAAAACCATTGGAAAGAAAAAAAGATTCTCAGCTCTATTGCGCTCGTCAATCCCCATAAAAGACGAAATTGAAGGATCGATTGGAACGATGATCAGTAAGGTTGCAAATGAACTGAGCTGAACCCAAGACTTGGGCACGAGAGAATATAATTCCTAATATTTCTACCAGGCTACCACTAATGCACTTTGTGTCTTCAAAATACAACATTGATTAATATATACTAATATACATATGCTAAATAGATTATCAAAGCCAATTTTAACAGAATCAATAACTATACTATAATTTTTTTAAGCATTATTGGTAGAAATGATATTTATTTTAAATTAATAATTTACATATAAAAAGCTAAATACCACAAGAATAATATCAAATAAACTAATATTGGAGAATCATCATCATGTTGATCTAAAGTTAAAACACCACAATTTTGTTTTTATTATAAAATATATTTCTTATTTTCTTTCTATAACTTTAATTGGGTTAAATAGTAGAGGTAGGGTTCAACAAATTGATGTCCTCGCCGTTCTCTATCATCGCCGTCTGCTGTCCTCGCCGTTCTTTGTCATCGTCCGTCCTCTCCGTCTGCTGTTCTCGCCAAGTTTTTTTTATAATTACAATGATGGTATCTGAAAGTTTTTAGCATTGATTTTATTATAATTACAATGATGGAGCATGAAATCATTGATTTTTTATAATTACAATGATGGTATCTGAAAGTTTTTAGCATTGATTTATTATAATTACAATGATGGAGTATGAAATTATTGATATTTTTTGTGGAATATTAATTAATTTTGAGAAGAATTTTTTTTTTTTTATAAAAAAATTCATGAGCTGAACCCAAACTTTTAAAATTAAGACGAGTCCGAGTCCGAGTCCGAGTTCAATTTTCTGAGCTCGTCACGAGCCGAGCTCGAGCCCGAGCAGATCCTGTAAATAAATGAGCCGAGCCCAAGCAGACCCAAGCTCGACTCGGCTCAATTCATTTGTAGCCCTAATGATCAGTTTTGAAATTTGGGTCTTTTTGTTTGGGTTGGGCTAAGGCCTTTTCATTTTGCATCTTTGTATCACTTGGGGGCTTAAGCCCTTGTTGGTTTTGTAGTGGGGCTAGCCCTGTGAGTTAGCTATGGCCATTTGGCTTCTACATTCCATCCTCATTGTATAATATAGACTTTGCTTTACCTTTTGACAAAATAAATAAATAAATAATAATAATAATAATTGTTGAGTGTAGTTTTATTTATTTATTTTGTGGTCCGGAGGAATACCTTTTAAAATTGATCAGAATGAAAAGAATAATATACTGTGGAGTAACACAAGGTAAGGAAAAGAATATATATCAGAAATGAAAGTGATGGATTTCGATCAATTTAAATTTGGACAATCATGTCAAGACAGCAAGACTCTACTTCAATCCAGAATCTATCAGAAAAGAAAGAGATGTCCCACATATATATATATATATATATATATATAAATCTAATTGGACAGTCATGCCAAGATGGCAAGACTCAACTTCAATGCAGAAATTAAAGAGAGTTTGGTGAAAGGAGTTATATCAGCGTCCCCACAAAGAAACCAACCAAACCAACCCCCATTCTCTGCCATTCATATATATGGTTAGTCTCTTTACTACATATATATATATATATATTCAGGAAAAAAGATTTACTAAATCCCATCAAATTAGTCAATAAGTTAGCTACGGGAGGAATGTCAAACCAAATAAACCATCCCCTCAATTCACTTTACATCAATCATAAAAAATGGAGGAAAATTTCTAACACGAAAACAATTGCTCGGGAGAGTATAACAAGATCTTTCTTATTTTCCTTTACTTAAATTTCATTGCCTAATTAAGCTAATCAAACAGCTTATATAGCTATTATTAGCATAGACTCTTACCAATCAAACCATCGATCACTATGTTAGCTTCTTGTCTAAGCCTGGTCTCCTGGTACGGCACCTACCTCCACCGTTGTCTCTCCGCCGCCGGCCTGTCTTCGCAGATGGTCGACGTGGACGACGAAACCACCATCCACTTCTGGGGACCCAAACGATCCCCCAATTATGACTCTTCTTCCAAACCTGCATTAATTTTGATTCACGGGTTCGGCCCACGAGGCGAGTGGCAGTGGCGCCGGCAGGTGGTGTTCTTCGCCCCTCACTTCGACGTCTACGTGCCGGACCTCGTCTTCTTCGGTGAGTCCACCACCAAGTCGTCGGAGAGGTCGGAGGTTTTTCAGGCGGTTTGTGTTGGAAAGCTGATGGAGAAGTTGGGCGTTGAGAGGTATGCGGTGCTGGGGACGAGCTATGGGGGTTTTGTGGCGTACCACTTGGCGGAGATGTGGCCGGAGAGGGTTGAGAAGGTGGTGATTGCTAGTTCTGGGGTGAACATGAGGAGGAGTGATAATGTTGAGTTGTTGAGGAGGGCGAAAGCCGAGAAGATCGACGACGTTATGCTGCCGCAGACGGCGGCGCAGTTGAGTAAGTTGATGGGTTTGGCACTGTTTAGACGCCCCTACATGCCTCGGTTCTTGTTACATGACTTCATTGATGTAAGTAGTGCTTTCCTTCTTCCTAGCACTAAACTTGTACTGTAGCTTTGTGTTCTTGATTTCTCCAGTTGATACCTACTTAAATTCAAAATGATTAATGCATTATATCTACCTAGATTTAATTGTGTTTAAAAACTCGTTGTATGAGGATTCAGGCTATTGTCTAATTAATCTTTTACATTATATAGAAAAAAAAAAAAAAAAAAATTGTGTTAAAAAATTACAGTTTACTACAGCAGAGAATTTAGAATGGGTTCTGAATATGATACTCCACCCACATAATCCTCAATTTTGTTGATTATCTCTTTGATATTGTCTAATTAATATTTTAATTTATATAGAAAAAATTTTGTGAAAAATATTGTAACATGTTTGAAATAGATTTTGTGATCAATTTCATTAATTATTTGAATAATTGCTAATAATATGCAATATTCATTATTTTAATATATTGATTGGCGGATTTGTCGATAAATGTAGACCATATCTCAATAAATGTTTCCTTTGGTTGGTGAACTTAATTAGGTTGGAGATTATTTGGTGAAATTATTGGGAATATTAATGACCGTTAATTGATGTCTATGTCTGGTCAATTACGTTATATTAGTTTATATATATGGATGGTTAAAAAGATTAGATGGGCCAAAGTTGCCCGAAATTAACCTGTGTGGTACAATGTTTTGATGTTTTGAGGACCACAGTTATGTCTAACATCACAAGTATATCTTCTTCTTTTTTTTAATCCTAAATCACAAGTATATCATCATTAGCTCATTCCTCATTTTCAAATTCTGATTTTGTCCGTAACAAATTATATAATGTTATATTTGAAAGTATTCAATAGGCACTCTGAATTGGAATGGAAGAAAATTTGATTTAATTTTTAAAGTAAATTTGATCCAATTTTAAATTCAAGGAGTTGTGCACGTGCACGCATATATATATATATATATATATATATATATTTATATTAGAAACACTTAAATTTATAGGGATAAAAACTTTTTTATTTTTTATTTTTTATTAGTTAATACTCACACGCATAGAAGCTTGAATCCTTTATCTAGGAAAAGTATCGTTAAGTCATTGACCTGTTGGTGGAATACAACTCACATGTATATTTTTTCTTAGGATTAAACGCAAAAAAACACTCATGTTATATATAAAAGGTGCAAAAAACTCCCTATTAGAAAAAATGTGCATATAACACCTTATATTATACATTTTATGAGCAAATTTCCCCCTAATCACCAATTTTGATCAAATATTTTTATAAAAAACCCAAAATGCCCTCCTCTCTCCCATAGGCCCATGGTAGCACCGGCCCTCCCAAAGAAGACGGCTCCTAATTTTCCTACCCTAAATGGCTATTTCATTGCAATTTCCTTATTGTGGGTCCCTGAGCTATGGTATGATGACAACAATCAAAGGATGTTAGGTTGGAAATATTCTTTGATGACCCTCCCTTTTACAATAACAGTGATATACACCAGGTGGATCTTGAACCACCCAAAGCTACACCAGCAGTTGAAAGCCAACTCGCAGGTGAAAGTCCCTTGATATGGAGTATCTGCGCGCTACAAGATGAATCACAGAGCCAATACCAATCCAAGTTAATCACCAATATCAACGGCTCTTTAGCCAATTGGGTATCACTGATCGAAATTCGAACAATCATATGAGATCAATCTGCTTCCTACTCCGAATGTGAAGAACGGCAGCTCGAAGTTATGCCGGCGAGAGAGCGCCACCGGAAAGCTTCATCAATAATGGCGGTCAAATGGATTCTCTCTCCTCTCTTTCTCTCTATACTCTCTCTATAGGATTCTCTCTCTACAGACCCATTTTCTCTAAATGGATTCTCATCCTCTTCCCCTCCTTCACAGTCGCCTTTGTTCTCCCTCTCATCTCCACCACCACTAACACCACCTCCGCCGACGGTCTCTCCATTACCCAAACCCATCTTCGATGCCGGCCAAACTCAATTCCCCCACCTCTGCCAAAAATGACCACCACTAAGCTCAGCTAAGTTGTTGCCGACGTCCTTCGCTTTCATACCCCGCTGTAACTTCCTCATTTTCGGTCCGACCCTTGTAACTTACTCTCCCTCCTCTCTTTCTACTCTCTCTCTATAGACCCATTTTTGGGGCAGTGCTTGAAGCTCAACAATCTTCAAGTGCCCAACCAAAGCTTCCATCATTTCCGGCGAGCTCAAAGGAGCAAAATCCAGTTCACACCATCAAGTGTCCAAATGACAAAGACCCACTCGAGTGTCGGCGAAGATTAAGATCGGACTGAAGAAGCTCACAGCAATATCAACCGAGCTTTGTACCGTGAAGCGGTTGGGGTGACGGCGAGAGAAAGAATGAAGGTGACGACTGTGGCGGTGAGAGAAAGAGGGGAGAGAGAATCTGAGGATAGAGGAGAAAAAATTAAGGGGGTATTTCGGACATTTCAACTGAAATATCCTTGTTTGCACAAATTAAAACAGGGTATTTTTTGCACTTAACCCGTTTTCTTAATTGATCCAAGACTTTTTCATGCATGATCGATAATAATAAAATGGGGATAGAAATGGTGCCTTCCAATGAGTTCAAAATAAGCTAATAAGCTACGCATGTAGTTAAAACTTTTTCTACTGGTAATTCAATTGTCACTTGCAGCTATACCTAGACCAGCCTCTTAAACATATTTAAAGGTTTTGTGTGTGTGTGTGTGATAATTTTATTTATTTATTAAGTTTCTACTTGCTAGAAGCATTAGAAAACTCCCATTTTTTTTTTCCTGTCCCTAATGAAAAATAAATAAATTAAAAACAAGAAAATTATGAACAACAATATCACAACTACTGATATCATCAACCACAATATTTATGGATGCAGAAATTGTACTCCGACAACAGGAAGGAGAAGATGGAACTCCTGAAGGGACTGAGCGTTGGATGGGACGACACAGTTAATATATCCCCTCTTCAACAGGTACACAGTGACCATATTCTGAGTTAAATTAAGCCAAAAAAAAAAAAAAAGTATTATTATTATTTTTCCTGGTTAGGTTTTATAAATTTGCTGTTAACTTCTTCTTCTTTTTTTTCTTTTTTTTTTTTGGCCGGTAGGAGGTCTTGATAGTGTGGGGAGACCATGATCAAATATTTCTACTGGAGAAAGCTACTGAACTCAAGGAGTATGTACACTCTGCATCAACTCATCTTTGAACTTTGTTTTAATCTTTATTTTTGTTATCTCATTCAGCTAGTTAAGACATTGTTTCATAACAAGCAATTCATTATATATATATATATATATATATTTGATGTACTTTGCATTAATTTGTATCTTTGCTAACTAACTCATTCAGCTAGCTAGCTAGCTGACACATTGTTTCATAGCATGCACTTAATCATATATTGATTAACCCCAGATTACAATAATTTAAGTAGGTGAACAAAAGAGAAGAAGAGCAGAAATGCAATATTCGCGGTTTAGACTCAATGTGAATGCTTAGTTTAAATTGAATAATACAGAATTATGGATATACTAGAAAAATAAAATAACAGATGAATGTAACTTTGCTCCAACAATATTGAAAAAAAGACCGATGACTTTTTTCATTTGAACAACCATTCTTTTTTAATTTTTTTTGGAAGTTCAGAACAACCAGTCTTTTGATATGTGATAAAGATAGATTTGGCTCATCATGCATCAAATTTAATAGAATTTTCTGGTTTGTGGTTGCAGGCTTCTGGGAGAGAAGGCAAGACTGGAAGTAATAAAGAATACATCACACGTACCCCAACTAGAACAAGCAAGGCAGTTCAACAACATTGTGATGAATTTCTTATGTGGGTCCTCATCACTATCCTACTAATTTGTTTACTAGATCAATGAATTGTTTTTGACTTGTGGTCTTTTGATTGAATTTTCTGATCATGAAATTACCGCACTTACGGTTTTCGGCTACAGAAACCTTTTACACATACATGAAAATTAATGACATTGGGCTCTGTATAATTTGTCTTCTTTTTTTTTTTTTTTTTTTTTTTGAATGTTTCGCAAAGATTCTGAAAATATTTTTTGGAAAAACTTTTTCGTTGTTTTGCTTCCTGAATTGCCTGTAAGTGAAAATCGAAAATCAAATCTCTTATGAAAATTAAACTTTCTTACCAAATAAATATCAACCATAATTCCTATTAACTTAATAAAATCAAATTGTACGAACATAACTAATTGACACAGGCTAGAAACCTAAAACAATTTATAATATAGGAAATATTGTGGTGATCTTGCGGACGGGTGTGTGAACGAGTGCATGTGGCATCAGTAGACTATCACACTGGGTGAGCTACAGTTGCACAATCTCAGATTACCTGGATATGGATGGGGGTAAGTGTTATATGTAAATTCAACACCCTTCTATAGTACAATGCATTTTAAAGTCGTGATGATCATGAACGTATCAAAACTATTGGATTAGTACCAAGATGGGTGATCCCCTTGGAAGTCTCTGGTCTGAAGGAGCCAAAAGCAAATAATATCGTGTCTGTAAGAATTGTTACAAATGGTATTAAATTGTAACCCAGTCGACATGATGACCAACAGGGAAGCTGGGTCCCAAAGAAGATGATTGCGGCGACCTTATCCCACATTACCTTGTGACAAAACATCCGAAAATAATGCAGAAGTCCCCATCTTTAAAACAGTAAGGAGCAACAAAATCATTATATCCAAGTTATACCAAACCCCATTGATCCCTCTCAAAGCAATCCAATGCCTGCTCCTCAAAGTCTCCTGTTACGTGGAAATTAATGACATAAGGCTCTGTATAATTTGTCCTTTTTTTTAATGTTTCGCAAAGATTCTGATAATAATTTTTGAAAAAACTTTTTTGTTGTTTGGCTTCCTGAATTGTTTGTAAGTGAAAATTGAAAATCAAATCTCTTATTAAAATTAAACTTACTTTCTTATTAAAGACTTTAATTTGTCTGAGTCATCGATTATCCGTTAATCTAAATATCAACCATGGTTCCTATTAATTTAATAAAATCAAATTGTACCAACAGAACTTGACAGAAGCTATCAGAAACCTACAACAATTTATAATCTAATGAAATATTGTGACAACCTTGTGGGCGGGTATGTGTGAGTGTGTGGATGGAGCAAGTATTATATGTAGATTCAACACCCTTTTATAATACAACGTATTTTAAAGCTATGATAATTGTGAACACACTAGAACTCCAGAGTTAAGCGTACTTAACTTGAATTAGTACCAAAATGGGTGATTCCCTAGGAAGTCTCTGGTTTGTAGGAACCAAAAGCGGACAATATTGTGTCTGGTTAAGGTGAAAATTGTTACAAATGGTATCAAAGCCTAATCCAATTGGAAGTGCGGCCAACGAGGACGTTGGTCCTCAAAGGAGGTAATTGTGGCAAACTTATCCCACATTGCCTGGGTGTGACAAAACATCCGAAAATGATGTAACAGACCAAGAACTCCCCATCTTTAAAACAGTAAAGAGCAACAAAATTGTGAGTTGTACGCAGCGGAATGTATTTTAGGAAAGTATTAGATTTTGTAAAATAGATTTGTGTCGTTACTAACTCTACTTATTTTAGCAGTTAAATAATTAATCGCATGCAGTAAAATAAAATAAAGTATAAAGTTAGAGATGACACTAGGATTTTAGCGAGAAAACCCCAGTTGATAAAATACGTCAACTGTTATAGGAAAAACCTCGTGGACTTGTGCAGTCTAAAGTAAACCAATCCACTATACTTGGAACAAAGTATACCGAACTTTAACTCTGACTTACACCCTATTGTTCTACCCAACACCAACCGCTGATGATCCTCTGACTTTGCGACTCCCCGTCCAACAGTAACTTGACCTCAAACTTACACTTGATATTTGTAGAAGAGTAGCAGGTAGATCAGACAGCACTCCGCGAATGCTCCAACCCTTCCAAAGTGTGACTGCGTTTACTTCTGTTCTTCAACCGTCTGAATGATGTAGAAGAAGATTTGTTTTGTCTGAATGATATTAATATGACTGTATGATAACGATTAGGATTCGAACACAGCAACTCTAAATTCACTAGGTGAATGTGTGTTCTAGGAAGACCACAGAAAAATCAACTTTGATTTTCTGAGAGAAATAAACTTCCTGAGGCTTTGTATGATATATGAATAATGATTAAAAGCCGTAGATAAACCAATGTATATGACATGATTTATATAAAGTTTAGAATGACCTAATCCCTCTGAAAATAAGGTAAAAGTCGTGCATAGGATTTGGTACAATTCTAGACTAACTGGGAAACAACTCAGAATAAGAAAACTGAAGTTGTATAGCAAACAGGACATCTTGAACCGGTTCAAGGAAGCTGAACCGGTTCAAGGTTAGCAGACCTGAATATGCAGATTTTTTCAGCCTAGTTTCATTCTACGAAAATTTCAGACCAAAATGGTAAGTGTAGAATGTCCAACATTGTTCATATTCCTTCCTAAAGTAGTGTTCTTACCCTTTTCTTCACAAATACTTCAAGTATGATAACTTTGAACTCCTTCTCAGTTTTGTAGTCCTATCGAACTTGATGACTTGTATAACAAGTAATTTAAATTACAACTCAACTTGGACTTGTAATGTCTACGACAATTGCCAAAATAAATTAATATCTCACAATCTCCCCCTTTGGCAATTTAGTGACAAAACCCTAAAATAATTTTGCAATCTACCCAAAGTAGAAAAGTAAATTACATTTTTTGCTTAAAGATAAAAATACGAAATTGGAACACTGATCTTTTTGAATTCAAGACTCGACCTGTTGTCCTATACACGATCAAACAATAACTACCAGTGAAGTTTAATAAATAAAAATTTATAAGAACTCTTTAAGTAAATATCTAATATCCAAAATTTTATTATCTCCCCCTTAATATCAGATGTGGTCTCCCTCTTTTGTAACAAATTGACAAAGCATAGAGAAAAATAATAAAAGAACAGATAAGTCCACCCAAGTAAAGCACAATCCAAATAAGCATATTGAAGTCTTTGAAAGCATATTTCAGGAATATCCAAGAACAAAGACAAGTGGTACAATTATTAAACAAAACATGATGTCATGATGCATGAGAAAATAACATTAAAAGTAACATCATGTTCCCTCAATCACTCAGAGACAATAAACAGAATCTTTAGTCTCCACCACTCTCCTCCTCATCCTCATCCTCCTCATCCTCATCTGTATACTCATCCCCATTTTCATCATCTTCCTCATTGTCAGCTTGCAGAAATGGATCTGGAGGTGCAGGCCTGTAGACATCCTCATTCGGAACCCCAAATGGCTATTCTCTCAGCTGAGTCATCTGTAGTTTGAGATCTCGGATCTCAACCATTATCTTCTCAAACAACGAATTCTGATGCTGAAGTAGATGGGAATACATAATGTTGGCATCGGTTTTCATAAAAGTCCCTTTCGGAGTAAATAGCTGAGTAATGTCTGAAACTTGTGACGGCCTTTCATTTCATCTACAGGCCTTTCTAGCATTCTCCAGAGCAGTATTTGATTTGTTCAAAGCACGAGGATCTAATTCGGTTATGATAGGCTTATGATTAGCTTTTGGAGGATTCGGCACATTCTTCTTTTTTCAGAATTTCCATGATGATTATTGGAAATGGAGAAGAATACTTGCGAGAATTTTTCTTATAATGAGTTATTGTAAGCTGCACAATAGAGTGATCAAGCAAAATGTTCTTATTGTTGGCAAGAAAATAAAGTACTTATGCTCGCTCCAGAGATAATTCATCCTTCTTCCTGAAGTAGCCCAGATTTGCCATAACAAACAAGTTGAAGAAGACAGCTTCATCTGTCAGAAATCGAGCTGGAATAGTATCTTGGTTCAAAGAGGAGTTAGGCACACATATCTTTTGAACAATCTGGGATAAATCAGGGCTTGTAACTGTCAAAGGTAGAGTATGTCCCGACAATTGATGATTTTTCGAAAGGCCAAGAATAGACGCAATATCCTACTCATCAACTGTATAATCAACTCCAAACAATGATACAATGAAGTATAAGTCATGAACCTCACGGATATTAGCATAGAAATAGCTAATCATATTCGGACAATAAACGCCTTTGTCAAGCCTAGTGAAGAAAAGCCAATTATGAGATTTGATGTAGTTCACTAGTACTTGTCTTGCAGTGTCTTGAAGTTTCTGAAGATTAACATTCCTCTCTGTCTTTATTGGCCCATCCTTGTAAATAGAGAGATACACATTCCAAGCTTCTTCATTGTAAAAATGCGACTTTGTAAATTCAATCCTTCCAGTGCTAGAAACTGAAGGATATCTCATTGGAGACATGCTAGGTGCTTGTGAACCACTTTGAGGTTCTTGAATGGAGATACCGGTTCGAGACCTTTTTGGTGGTTTAGAATTAGCAATTCCTTTCCCTTTAGCTTCCCTAGTCGATTTAGGAGCCATGTCCTTTTGAAACTTTTTCACTTTGAAGCTTGTAACTCTTTCAGGAATTTTATCAAACACTTGGTGTGCAACCCCAAAAGTGTTTATAGAAAAGCTTGTTTTGATCTTCAATCCTCCCCAAAATCAACAAAACAACGCAAATCTATTTTTCTGAAGTACAATTAAGCTTCAATCTCTTTAATCAACTCAACTGATTAACCAATCCTCGAAGGTTTAACCCTAAACTTCATTGAAACCCATTTTGCAATTTTCAATTTTCAATTCTCACAATCTTCAATTCTTGTCTTCAATCTCATATAGATTATATAATGATCAATTATATATCATAGATGAATGCCAAGAAATTGATATGATGCATATGGATATATATATGTGAGACCTAAGGTGCCACTTGTTGGTTTTGTGGTGGAACCACTTCGGGGCTTAATCTCATGACACATGAAGGGTGGAGATTCACCCATTTGTTAGCCTAGGATTGAAGCACTTGGTTGCATGGATGGTTGACAAATGTAGGCTCAATGTTAAGTCTTGGAAG